AAAAACCCTAGCCGCCAGCCGCTCGCCGGAGAAGACGAACCAGAGGCCGACCGCCGCCACCCGCCGCCACTCGTCGCCGCACCGGGGAAATTTCCGACCGCCGATCGAGGTAAATTTCATACCCCCGACTCGTTTTTCCCCACTGATTCCTCCTATGGCCAAATCGAAGCCGAAATCCCGGTCAAACGGCCGGAATACGCGGCCGAAGCCCAGCGGCGCCGCCGCGCCCCCTCTCGGTTTTTGCCTCCGACGAGGCCCTTCCCGGCCTCCGTTCGATGCAATTTTTATATCACCGTGATCACCATTCTTTTCTCTACAGGTTGACCGAAGCTAAATAACCAAAACACGAACTTCGCCGGAGAGTCGCCGTACCCGAGAGCGCCACCGCCGGTAAGCTCCGCTTTTCCGTGATTTTTTGGCCCCCCGAGGGCCCTAGGGTTGTTTTCTGACAAGGACCAATGCGAGTGTGGCCGAATTCGGCCAAAAACGGCCGAAAACAGTCAACCCGAGGCTACTCGCCGCCGCCAGCGGCGGCGCCGTCGCCGGAGCACGGCGGAGCCGCCGTGCCGGAGTTGCGATTTGGGCCGAAAGAGGCCCTGGGCCTAATTTGGAATTTTTTTGGAACCCGTGCAGGTACTGTTAGCGTGTTTCAGTTCCCCGGGAAAAATTCAGGAAAAATTAGGGACAGCCTGCAGGCGCACTGTGAATCGTATTCGGATCCCGAAAACAAGTAAGGACCCCTCACCCTATTTTCTATCACGGTATTAAAGTTCAATAAATGATAAAACGGTATTTCATGAACCAACGAATGTGTGAAATTGCTTAAGGTTGCTAATGGAGCCCGAGTCTAGTGTGATTGATGATTTACTGTTATTTGACCTGTTTTACACTGTTTTACAGCTTTAAATGCAAAATGAGGTTTGATGTGTTCATTTTACAGATTTGTGTGCATGTACTACGTTTTTATTAATTATGGGTTGAATGACTGAAGAACTGATACTGTATGTTGTCTGTTCGGCATGAATTACGATTTGCTTGTTTAAATGTGAATTGATGATGCTTATTGAGGAAAAAGGGAAATGAAACATTGTATAGACTGATAATTGTATGATGGGGTCAGCCTGACTAGATATCCATGGAGATGGTGGACGGACCGGGTCCGTAGGGAACCCTACCGGGATTGTGGTCTCACATGCCGGACGGGGTATGGAGATCTTATGGTTTTGGCGCCCATACCGGACGGGGTATGGGGACGGCCCTGGAAACTGATTATGAATGTTAAAGGTTAACGGGTAGCGGAACCCCTATGGACCCCCACGGATACTAGTAGGCTGGTAAATGAGAAAAAGATATGTTGTACAATGATTGAATTACAAGAGGCGTGATAAGTGTTATGTTTTACAGCTTATATTATTCAATGATTATGATAATGTTATTGTTTT